ATAACCACTCGAATTAGTCTCCCAGTGACAAGTCTCGCATGCACAAGTTGCCAAGTTGCTTGGTTGCAACGAGGGTGTCGAGCCCTTTTTTATCGTTGCAAACACCGTCCTAATTTGTTACTTGTCTTCTTTCAGGAACGTTTTAGTAACTTGTGAATCTCTACACGCTTGACATGCATACATACCTACGTATAGCCTGGCTCTAGCACACAGGCACCCTCAGGCCAGCCGCTCAGCTTACAGATCCAACACGGAAACAAAAGGATGTGTCAGGGCAGGGCAAGCCTATCTAGCTAGAAGGATGAGGTTTCGCCAGTGCGTGCCATGGCTGAGGGGGGTGGAGCATGGCTGTCGCGAGTTTTGTCCAGCATCCGGGCGCTGTTCCACTACAAGAGATTACCAGGCACCCGACACTGCCCGAGTCGATTGCAGATGCGCCCCAAAAGGCACCCGCCGCAAGTTCACGATAGTCGCATCGTCTTTACTGCTGACGCGAGCAATGGTTCCGTGCCTTTACGTGTCTTTACCAGCTCCCAGCAGACTCCCAGAAGGGACCCAAACTGCTCGCGACGTAGTTTGCCGCATTCGTACAAAATATGCGGAAAGCTGCTCCGCAGTGGCTTTCTCCATTCCGGTTTCGAAACCGGTGAAAAAACATCGTTGCTGGAGTTCCATCGGAGTGGCATCGCAAGGACATATGTCGACGAGTGAACAGGCCTGCATCGGGACCATGCGTGTACGTGTCCTGTCCTAAAAACTGTGCGTGATGACAAACAAAATGAAAATTGGTACAGCAGGTCTAATCATGAATTGGGTCAAAACTGAGGAAATGAGCACGTGGCTCGGTGAGGCCTCGGTCCGGATGGGCAGGTGGTGCAGGGTGCGCCGACGAGGCCAGCGCAAACAGAAGCACAAGACAGCCGCTTCGACGACTAGCGCGGTTGCGCTGCTGCACACGACGGCTTCTCGTTCCGAGCGCCGCACGCGCACCGGTATAGCCTTGCACAGGAAGCTCATCATATCCAAGCTGAAGGCCGACAATTGCAAACTGGGTGCTTTTCAGCTCGGTGTCTTCGTCAGATTCTAGGCATCACACCTTCATTCGTGATATGAACGAATTGCGACAAGCGAACTGTGTTAAATTATCTTGTGTTCTGCAACAACGACAGCGGCAACCTCTCAGACGTACAGTATTGCGCAACTTCCGTCAGAGGACGTGCGCAGATGTCTGTTTCGTGATGGTTCGTTTCAATTGACACTGTCTGCTTTTGTGCTCGACGACGCCGTAGACCACGGCACATTTGTGGCAGCAACCTTGAATTGCATGGCGTCGCTGCGTCGAGGCATGCTGTCTTCGCACGTGCTGAGCGCTTGTACGACAGTAAACTTTCCCGTGGGTCTTCACGCGAGGCTTACTGACGGATTGATTTCCGATATGATAGCTGCCACCCCTCGCATTCAGGCATTCGAAGAGCTGTCCCGAGCAGATGGCTGAATCAGCAATTTGCAGCACATTAGCAGGAAGGAGCGGGAGGAGAAAATGGGATGTAAGATGATATAACTTCGCTATCTTTCACAGACCAACCACCCGTGAAACGCATGCACGACCCGGCCCGTCGTTCGCCCGATCGAACATCCTACTCCAGTCGACCCCCGACTCCGTGATACCCGTCGAGTTGTGCGCCAGACGCCTTCTAGACAAGCCCTTTATGCGTACACGGCGCCGCCCTCAACCCGTCACGCTGTACAGTTGTTCGCCATTGCAGCAAGCAGGTTGTGCGAAGCGATCATACCAGTACCTAGGCCCGAACGCGAAAAATGGTGCTCACCAAAGCCAGACGTGGCGTGTGCGCCCTGCTTGCCCGCACGCTAACAAGAAATCAAGGAACTCTGTCACATCTTGGCACAAAACCCGTTGATGCCGTTGTTGTTCGCCGTAGGACAGCACCGAGCTCTCCTCCGGGCAAAGCAAGGGCCGCTATAAGAGTCCTCGACGCATTTTATCCGGAAGACGCCTAGAACTTTGCCGGGTGGGAAATGCGGCATTCCCAATGTGTGTTACAGTGTGTAGTATTTTTTTCTTTGCCTGTTTCGAAAAGTGAACACGGTCCCAGTGCACGTAAGCGGGGACGTACCGGCTGTTTTCGGGTGCCCGCAGGCGGCTTTGCGATCAGCAGTTGCCGATGAATGCCAGTGACATCAGCAAGGACTTCGTGGAGGTCGAGCGTTTTTCCCAAATCGCAGAGTGCAGGAAGGACACCGCAAAAACAAGTATAGCGGCGAGCGGAAGGAGGCCCGACGCGGAAGAGCGGCAGGCAGCACGGGGTGCCGGAGGAAGGAGGCCGCCTCAGCGACGAAACGCGCTCGACTCGTGCCCGCGAGCTCGGGGTATGTTTGGCGCCGCCTACGGCGAGAAGCGGCCTGGACGGCCACGCCAAAGCAGTGGTTCCCCAGCTCGGGTGATGGGGCTGATCAAAGGCAATGGCAGACGCAGCCGGCACAAAAGGAGCACGCGGAGGTGACAGCGGCAAACATGGGGAGGCCTGCCAGGGCACGGCCTGAGTTGGGTCAGCTTGCGAAACCACGCCGGGTGAAAGTGAGCAAGGTGCATCTCGAGCTTATGCTCGTCACAAGCCACATAGGTGGCCGGTTCCCGTGCGGAGGGTGTAGCGTAGCCTGCTTGAACCGTCGAATTTCGCTGCGCTCCAACCGGACCCTGGCTCTTCTGTCGAGGTGTGGTTCGGGGCGTCCCAGAGCATCAAAGAGGCACCAGTTGTTTTTGCATGCATCACCGCCCTGGGCGACTTGCAGTCGGCCCGATACTTTTCCGCGCGTCAAGTAGCGCCAAGTATACCTTCTCTGTATGTTTTTTCGCATTGCACGGCCGATTATTCCCGCGAACATGATTTCGCCATTGCTTCGTGTCTTCGAAACATGCTTTGCGGTGAGGAAGCACCCGACCTGCCGGCTGATGCTCGTGCTACGGCGCAGCTACTGCTTGGGTTTCGTGAGCCTGGGCCTTGTGCACATCGGCCGCTTATCAGGTCTCGCGGAGGGATGCCTTCCCTGCGCCACTACAGCGTTACCCACATGATGCGATGCGGTTGCAAGCTAGCCGTGGCGGTAGTCTTGGGCAGCCCCTCGGCAATCGCCATTTCATCGCACGAGCGGGAGCTCTTGCAAGACCGCCCATTGCTCCCGATCCCGCATGCCACCTACCTGCTATAGCACAGACGACATGCTATTGCCAGGCTTGGGCTACCGCTGAGCGCAGCTTCCAGTACTCGGGCTCGTGGGAGGGCTCCATTCTTGCCTTTATTCGCGGATTTCCGATTTGTTCACCCGCACACGACGAGACCGGGATGAGGACGAGCAGCATCGACAGCTATTGACACATGCGCGCTCGAGACGGTGTTCACAAAATTTGAGCCAGCATCTCGGCCTTGTTGCTGTCGCAAGTTGCAGTCTGGTCGCGAGCGACGGACTATTGACAATGGCGGACGCCACAATCCGCGACGATGGCTTGCCCCGACCCCGAACCGACCAACACCCGGGTTTGGGTATGCCAGGCAATCGACCGTAAGTTCGAAAACAGCGGCAAGCGCAGTGGCTGCCTTCTGGTAGTTTTCAGCGGGGGGATCCGGGTTCGACCCAGTCGCAGCACGCACCATCTTGCGACGGGAACTCGCTGCCCGAGCCTGCTTCAGTAACATGGCAGGGTTGGCAATTTTTTTGCACTGCCCGGCGGACGTGAAAAATTGCAGAGGCAACAACTATTGCTCGTCAGATAGTCCATAACTAATAATGAAAACTTGGTTGCATGAACCCTGTGCAGACCTTGTTGAATCCGCACGCGAAAAATACAAACGACTACATCAGCCACGATGCAGAATCTGCCAAGGGAAAACGTAGAGCACGTCTTGGCCTGCTATACAAATAAGCTCGATTTTGCATCGATGTATGTACGTCAGGCTGTTCTACTCCGGTTACCGCGCTTTAGGTCACTGGATCCCGCGAACAATCGGGCCCAGGGTTTACTTACATGATCAAAAAGGAGGCTGTCTCAGCGTTGGGTACATGCGGTAAGGTTGCCATGATCGGTCTGATGGAACGTGCCCTTACCACTAGCACATCCAGCCAGCCTGAACCCTGTGTGCTCCAGCTGCCGTACAACTTTTGTCAGATGCAAAGCAACTGTGAATGTGGTTGCTGTTGTTACTTCGGCTGTCTGGAATGCGCAACCGCAAGTACAACCTATCCTTCGTAGTTGAAAAAATTCGCCGCATAATCGTGCAAAGCTGGCTGTGCGTTTTTCTCGCTGACATGGTCGCGACACATGCCACGTTAGACTACTTGCAGTAGCAGTTCTGGGTGATTGATGCCATGCCGGCGCTATTGGAAAAGATCGCGACCCTCGAACTTGAGATTGCAAGGACCTGATGATTTTCTTGCAACTCCCGAATTGGCATGCGTGACTAAGAACGCGGAAGCTGAAGCCAGCGTGACTGTGGTGGCATGCTTGTGGCAGACGACGACCTGCAGCGGTTTTGCTGTCAATGCTTGCATGTGGCAACCCATGTGGCCCATGTGTGAGCAGGACCCAAAAGAACAAAGCTACAGCCAAACATTTGGGAGATTCTTGGATGCACGATTCGCGATTTGAAGCTGGATGCAAACACGGTGTTCAAACTATGTTTGGAAAAAGTGCCGTTGAAGCCAGGCACCGATAGACCAGAGCAATTTTTCATTTTCCGGATATGCTCCGCAAAGACGCAGTGTTACCGACAAACACATACGACAGCGACCGCTAAGGACCTGAAGGCCAAACTTTGCGCTGCCAGAAGAGACGCTTGTCTGAGAGTAGTGGCAGCCAGCATGGCAAAGTTGATGGGTGCGGTTCCAGGGCAGATGAACGACAGCCAGTTATGGGCAGTTTGCAACCGTAGTTTGCCGTCGCTCTAGCCAACGTGATTTGACGTTGGTCCGGGCAACGCAAAAACATGCAACAGAACTCCTATACTGCTTGGCCGTCAGCTTTACAAACAGCAGGCACCGTGAAACATGTTCGATGCTGTCCCGTGAGTTGTTCGACATGTGGTTTCCAGGAGCTTATCAGCCCAGAAAAAGGAGGAGGTGGTGGCAAAGCCAAGGGCTTCGAGGCAGTGTGAACTTGTCATGTTGTATGTGGATGCCGGAAGGCTTTCATGCTGCACAATGTTTCGGAATTAACGTGGCCTAGTGAAGCTGGAATCGTTGAGCTTTTACTTTTACGATGCCGCCCAGAAGCAGGTGCAGAGATTCGGGGATTCGCGATGTGCACTCATCGGATTTCCTTCAGTCTACAGCTTAGTCTAGCTGATTCCACGGTGTGGTGTCATGGAAACAAGTCTGCAAAGGCGCAACGTGGGCCCCGACTGGTGTTGACATCCTGATACTTCGACCCAGGTCGGGAAATCGTCCCTTCTGACGGCTTTGACTGGAGTGCAGTCCGAGGCGGCCGGTGGAGCGCAGTAAACACGAAGAGATTGCCATGCATCATGCCGAGGCAGCAGCCTACGAGTTCACCACTTTGACCTGCATCCCAGGTTGTTGTGGTTGCTTTTGAAGCTCCAAGCTTGTGCATTGTTTTGGATGTGCCAGGTGTCATCAACTACAATGATTGCAAGATTCAGCTTCTTGACCTGCCTGGCATCATCACAGGCGCTGCACAGGGCAAAGGCCGGAATCTTGCTGCAACGACTTCGCGCCGCCGTTTGGCATGCATGGTTGATTTCCTGCTGTCGTGAAGGCTCAAGCCACAGCCAGTGAGCATTTTGGGAAGGAGTAGCATTGAATCCGCCAATCCTGACCAGCATTATTTTTGCTCGGTTGGTGATGCTTGTTGCTTGAGATGCCTTGAGTTTTGCATGCTTTTCGCGGGCCATGCCTGCACTGAGTTTCTGGTGCAGCGCAGGCTGACTCCGGAGATTGCTTTCGTGCCCATAAAGTTCCTCGCTGATGGATCGAACCAATGTATGACTAAGCATCGTCGGGTCTCAAAGCCAGGATGGTTCTCTGGGTTCGTGGTCGCACTCAATGCGGACTGTCATCAGGCACTCCGTTGCACGTTGGCGTGGACATTTGTTTGGTTGAGGAAGTTTCTCCGTGTAGGGGCCTTCCGTTCTGGCAGCTGCCATCAACCTTTTGACGAGTGCATGCCCCCTTGTGGAGGAAGCCCTTCCTTGCGTGGCTTGGCTTGCATGTTACACAGTAGGCTGTGCCTCCTCCACAGCCGAAGTTTCCGCTTTCATAGAGGCGCTCCGGTCTTCTTTGGTGTTTTGCTTTGGCAGCCGGAGACAAGGTTGACACTGTGGCCCCTTTCCGGCTCTATCGATACATGTAGGTATTTGCAGGATAGAAACTTCTGTGCACAAGCGTTCTCAGTAACAGCGCAAGTTGCCGAGTAACGGCCAAAGACAGTCAGTAACAACGCAAAAACTCAGTCAGTAACAACACAAGTCCGCTCTGCGCAGGCGTTTGACTGGGTTTTAGGGGTTTGCCTCCCACCCCCGAGGTCCCTGGCTCGATTCCCCCTGTGCCCTCCTGCCCTTTCTTGCTTCCCGCCCAACCTCCTCCCTCTTTCTTCTAAATAAGAAAGGAGGGTTTTCCTGCCCCTGCCCCTCGTGCAAGGAGGGTTTTCCAGTCAACAGGCAAGCAGGCGTTTGACTGGGTTTTGGAAGTCTTCCGCCCGCGAAAGGAGGGTTTTCCAGTCAAACAGGCAAGCAGCCTCAGGGTGGAGGGGGGGCGGGGGGAGGGTGGGGAGCCCAGCGGGGGCGAGGGGCGAGGGTGGCGGGAAGGGAGTTGGATTCACCCAGCGGCAGGGCAGGGCCAGGAAAGAAGGGCAGAGGGGGCTGCCAGGGAGCAGGGGCAGGGGCAGGGGCAGGGGTAGGGGTCCAGTCAAACGCCTGCTTGCTTGTTTGACTGGAAAACCGCCGTCCTTTTACGGGCCGAACACCTCCAAAACCCAGTCAAACGCCTGCTTGCCTGTTTGACTGGAAAACCGTCTTTTCACGGGCGGACGACCTCCAAAACCCAGTCAAACGCTTGCTTGCCTGTTTGACTGGGCCTGCTTGCCTGTTTGACTGGAAAGCCCTCCTTTTGTGGGCGGAACACCTCCAAAGCCCAGTCAAACGCCTGCTTGCCGGCTGGCAGGGGCAGGGGGAGGGGCAGGGGCAGGTCCAGTCAAATGCCTGCTTGCCTCTTTGACTGGAAACCGTCCTTTCACGGACCGAACACCTCCAAAACCCAGTCAAACGCCTGCTTGTCTGTTTGACTGGAAAACCGTCCTTTCACGGGCGGAACACCTCCAAAACCCAGTCAAACGAGTTCGCATGACTTGCAACGGAAGCCGCTTTTGCGCTGTTACCTTGTTTCCTGGTTGCGCTGTTACTCTTTTTGTTCCTGTGCTGTTACTTGGCGCTCTCGCTGTTCAGTGCACGAAACCTACACAGAATTTCGAGTGCTGAGCCTATGGAATTGCAAGACAAATCCGGATGAGGATCACGGGCACCGCTGCGTGGATGCAAGCCGCATCTGTGATGGCCTACTGGACTGTGTGGATGCATCCGACGAAGCGAACTGTGGGACTGCAGGTGGGGCATCAGAAACATCCTCGAGTGCTGTAGCGCAGCAGGCCTGCCAGTGAGGTCAACCACCCGGCCCTGACCACGAAAGTTATCCTGGTGACGTCATGTCGGTGGCCGCTCTGGAGCAGGCGAGTTGCAAAGACGCCACATGTTGGCAAGCCGGGTTCTTTGCCATGTAAGGCAGAGCTTGCAAGGACGGTAGCACGCGCACATCGCCGCGTGCCCCGGCTTTGTCAAGAGCTTTCCATTAAATGATGTCATCTTCTGTGCAGCCAGGAGCAAGATGGCAGGAAAAGGGTCGAGCATGAGAAGAAACTCCAGGAGTCACTTTTGCAGGAAGCGCGGTCCCTTGCCTGCTTCCGGCAGATTCGGATAAGAGTATGTCAAAGCTGGCAAACGTCAGCAGAGCAGCAGCGCCGTGCCTGTTTCTGAGGAAGGCACTCAGAAGATCAGATGAGGAGAAGTCGAGATGTCAAAATGCTGAGCAGGGGACGGAGTGTTTCAGTCACGTGCATCTTGGCTTGGACTTTTGATGTTGACGAGGCAGGAGCTGTCGAGCTTTTGTAGCATGTCTGCAGAGGCTCTATGCAATGAGCCACGGCATCTTCGAACATCCAAATTGGCATCTTGGACCGCTGCCCAACATTGGAGCGAAAGTTCTGTTGAGACACTGTGCTCTGTGAGGTATCCCGGCCTTTCCTCTGATTCTGACTTCTCCGACTTTCAGGCGCGGCTTCATGCAAGCTTGACAGTCTTCATTCTTCACTGGTGAAATGATGAAAGTCGCAGGCACTACTGCATTTGTTGCCGCAAAACGGCTGCCCGAGGCCTTGCAGGGCAACGTGGCATGGAATGTGGTCTTGTAGGGTGTGCTGGGGCAGCGCTCGGGATGTTCGCCCTTTGCAGTACTTGCAGATGTCGTAGATATCAGAACATTCTTGGATTTGGGTTGTACGTCTGCTGGGTATGATGGAACAGCAGGGAAGAATTTGAGGGCACAGAGCGTGCTTGGGTAAGTTCCCAAAGTTCGAGCGGTTCAAGGAGGGTTTGTGGTTCTGGTCGAACCCGTGGACTCGGCTGACACGTGAGGGTGGGACCTGTCTGCAATTGCGCTTGCAGCCGCTCTGCCTGCTGCGCGTGGACTGGCTTCAGCAGGCTCAGAAGACGGGCACGTGAGGTAGCCTTAGCCCAAGCTCTGGAAGCCTTGGTTGGAGGTGGAGCTAATCCAGCATCCGGCCTGGTACCCGGAGCTCACCGAGACCTTGCTGCAACGAGTCGGCGTGTGCAGAAGAGGCAGAGAGGATGAGAAAGGACGAGAGCCAGGCAAGTGCAGCGGTCGAGGCGGCAACAAAGCCTCGCAGAACCAAAGACACAGAGGGAGACGGATTGACAAAGAATCAGAGGAGATGTTTGCAGTGAGGGTCTCATCCCGAAGAGGCAAGCCACGAAGACAAGAGGAAGAGAGGAAACGCATTGTCTGGGGTGGCAAGCAGGCAATTAGATCTTGTTTTTCCCGTCATTTGTCAGACTCCAGCTCTCGGGGAAGTGAGCCTCAGATAAGAACAAGAAAAATTGTTTCAGACAGAAGGCTGAGGCCTTCTTCTGGCTAGGCCCCAGGCTTGGTTCTTTGTTAACACGCGCAGTGAGGCAGCATCCAGCAAGCGGGAGCTTGCCAAGCTCCTTGCCTTTCGTTGACGGTGTGCGGCTGACGCAGTTTACAAGAAGACCTGACAGTCAGCGTGCAGGTTAGGATGTATGCTTCGGGCTTGCGGTCCACATCGTGTAGGTTGTACCCGAAGATGTGGTCGGGTGCTTCTGCGGTGCGAGCATCCGGATCCGGATTGCAGATCTCTTGCTGAAGTAGCATTGCCCGAGGAGTTTGTGGCAGCGGGGTGATCCGAACTGCTTTCGGCCCTGTCATTTGGGCGAGGCCGGCGGCTGTCCACTAGCTAGGGGACTCTCTGCTTGCCTCGCATTTGTGGTAGGAGAACGACCCTCACTTGCTGGAGCTCGTTCGTACGCCAAGGCAGAAGGCGGCGCCACACGCAGCGTCCGAAGCAGTGGTCACTTTCGTCCGCTTAAACTTGAGTGCTGGAAGTGGCCAGGAGGGCACACATCTGCGTTCTGCCAGCAAGCCGCACCCCGGAGCCGCGGTCGCGCAGGCAGAGATGGCAGTTCCGGCAATTCGTGCACGTTGTAGAGTGCTTCATGCGGATGGTAGGGCAGGGCCGCACCGGGCACCTGAAGTGGCGAAGCTTGCTCTCACTTTTAGCCTCTGATCCTATGGCTTTGTGCGTCCGGTTTGGTGGTCGCACTCCCTCCTTCCAGTAAGAAGTGGTTGCCCGCCTCGCGAGACGGCATGGCTCGTCTCTGGCAGGCAGCCACTCCGGTGTCTGAGCGATGCAGCTTGGCAGCTGAGCTGCCAAGCGCAGCAGAGTGCGATTGACAGCCGAGGCGACGAACATGGAGTCACCTACTTGCCCTTGGACATGCCGGGGGTGGTGCCACAGTTCGCGGATGCCTGGCCCAATCTGGGAGAAACCTTCCAAGCGAAGCAGTTTCGAAGCAGTCTCCAAGGAGACGCCTCGGAGCTGCCAGGAGCTTTGCTCCTACCAGCCCGGTGCTGCACCTCGTCACAGGAAAGCATTTTTCTAAGATGTTCTCTAGCGGCGAATCCTCTACACGGTGTGCTGGGGAGTAGCGCTGTTTCGGCCGTATTTTCCGAAGATCAGGTTCTAGATCGCCTGCACGCAAGGCCTACTACAGCTTTGATAGGCCGACGAGCACTTGCCACTGTCAAGCAGCGGAGGTGCGGAGATCGGGTGGGATCCGCTGCTTCAAAAGGGTTTGTGCAAAGAAGATACGACATGTTGCCGCGATGTAATGCTTTGAGGTCGGTATGCGCCATCAAGGAAGCTGGGGCTTCGTCAGCGGCAGCGTCGGATGCAACGGGGTGACTCGGACTGGGAATTCGTGGGTGCTCACACCAATCTGCGCTTGCCCGGACTTCTCCACCAAAGGTGGCACTTCACCCAGACACGCAGCTGATCGTCCACTACTTGGACATCGGTTGTTACCAGGCCGGATTTTCGGACAAGACCGGGCGTGGATGTCCGCTGCTGGTTTCAGCTCACAGAGTGGAACTGGAGTTTTGAGAACGAATCAGCCGCCCAACCGCAAACCGCAAGTGTCCCCAACTTACCTCATCCGCAGTTGAAGTCTCGGAACGGGGGAATCAAACCTCGTGGCTCCCTGGAAAAACAGGCCGGAGTCTTCTTCAGCGGGGCGGCAAGCAGCGAGTCGTATGAGGTGAACGGGTAGAAGGGGTCTCGGATGCCTCGGAGAGTTTTGCAAGATATGCAGCTGTGATCGAGTGGAGCCTTCGAAGGCGAACTCCCTGCGATGCCAACGGCGCTGTCAGCACCCTGCCTGATTGATCTTTTCCGTTTGCATCTTGTGATAAGGGCGTCTTGCTGTCGCTGGGAACTGGTCGAAGCTAGGCCGAAACAACAAGAGCCCCGCCCGCTGCGAACCGCAAAAGCAGCAAGACAGAAAGCCCAGAGGATGTAGCTTCAGTGGCCTCCGGGCTGGAGGGGTTTCAACCAAGGACAGCTCCCGAGCTTTGTGAGCATTTCGTGTACTTCAGCCGTGGCCTCGATGCTTTTGGCCGCAACAGCGAAAAAAAGCAATGCCTGGTGCTTGCGGTTCTTGCAGGATTTGATCTCAAGGTGTCGAAAGCGACTTGACGGCCATGGCAGTGCGCTCTAGAAGTGAGGCCTCCTCCAAGAGCTCTAGCAGCGGCGTTCGGTTTCAACCCGATGTGGACTTCGACGACCGAGAGCTCAACGTGCTCCACACGGCATCGATTACTTCTTCCGCTTCCACCTCGAAGAAGAGAGTCGGCCATGCCCTTGCCGGGGACTTTATCCGTGCCAAGACGGTAGATGCGGCCACCCACAGCGGAGGTGGTGGGCCCTCGGTCTGCCAAAGGCTCACCAAGAAGCTACGCAAGACCAACTATGTCAACAACATTATGGTATTGGTGGTTTTGCTGGATGCCTACTGCAACGCAGCCAGTATCGATGCAAGAGCTGCCGGGAATCAGACCCCACAACTTTGGACAGTCTTGTCCGATGTGTGTCTGGTCTTGTATAGCCTGGAGCTGGCTCTGCAGTTCTATCTGGATGGAATCGCTATCTTGCGAAGAGGTCTAATAATGATGGATGTTGTTGTCATCTCAGCCGGGTATATTGAAGTCATGCTCGATCTCGTTGCACCAGGTAACGAATATGCGAATTTGGGCGTGCTGAGCATACTGCGCTTGGCGCGGGTGCTGCGATTGCTGAAACTGCTTCGTAAGGTTAAATCCCTGCGGGAACTGCAAAAGTTAGTGAAGATGATGCACACTTGCATCAAAGCGCTCTTTTGGTCCTTTATTTTCTGCTTTGTCGTTATGACCATATGGGCCATGCTGATAGTTGAATGGATAGACCCATATGTGCGAGACATGGTCGAGGAAGGCCTTTTTGAGGAATGTGGTGTATTCTGCGAAACGGCAACCACCTCGGTCATGAAAGCGAACTTGCTCCTTTTTAAGACCGTCATAGCAGGTGACAGCTGGGGACAGATGGCCGTGCCCGTGATCCTCATGCATCCCGAGACTGCCGTCATCTTCGTGGGCTCCTCGCTGACCTTAGTCTTCGGTGTCTTGAATCTCATCGTTGCAGTAGTAGATCCTTGTCTGCATATTTGGCAGCCGAGCAGTCGCTCATCGGTGAGTCGTGCATCTGTCGCGGCAGCATTATGGTGCCGAGCTCGTATCAGTCGATGCTTGACAACCTCGCGTGCCCGTTATTATTTAGTTGGCTGAGACAGTGAGGTGGACACTTTCGCGGATGCTCGGGAGAGGGACATCCTGAATCTGGCAGAGGTGACGAGTAGCGCCTCGTACGCCCGAGGATAGATAGTCGTGAGCCGTCCGCTGCAGGAGCTGGAGCAGGACGTGGCTGCAGACAGGTCGCCAGCCTTAACCCAGCCCGGGGTTGGAGACAACAAGACACTATGACGACAGTCCACTGAAGACAGACACTTAGATTTCAGTCGTCCTCATCTCCTGGTTGCCTCCCCAACAACATGGACTCTTGTGTCATAGTGGGTATTTCTGTCTGCATGTCCATGTATTGCAGAGGAAGTTCCTACAAAAGATATTTGACCGAATCGACGAGGACCCGTGCTTTCAGGCATGCTCGGAATCCAGTGTTGGGACGGAGCCTTTGTTTGATGCTTGTTTGGCGCAGTCCGGTCGTTGCCTTCGCCATGTCTGGCATTGATTTTTTGCAGCTGTGCTTGAAATCTTCTCGGATCTCGGATCGTGTTACTGGGTGGGACGCCTCAAGCTTGAGAGCATCGATCTGCGGTGAGGACGGAACGGGTCAGCTAAGCCTGGAGCAGCTGGTGGCGGGGGCCCGGCAGGATGCCGAGTTCCAGAGCCGAGCCTTTGCAAGAAAGAGTGGCTGAGTGGCCTGCCTTTGTGTTCGCGCAGATACTCAGAGGGATCTTCAGGGGGCCCGAGGGGCAATGCCTGAGGGGGCTCCTGAAGCGCTGGCCCAAGAAACTTTCGGCCCTGCATCGTGCTACACCGTGCCTCAGGACTGCGTATCATGGACATCGATGAAATGGATTTGGTGGAGCTCTTTCAAATGATCGACACGGATGGGTCTGGCGCGATAGAAGCTCCGGAATTCATAAAGCCGTTGAGCAGGTGGGTGCATGAGCCTCGGCACGCTCGCTTTTTTGTTTTGTTGCGCATGTGTGTGCGTCCCACCCCCGCCGCCGAATGGAGCCCCAAGCCCACCCAGTAGAGGCTGGTCTGAAGCCCTGCCTCAGCTTAGGACTCGAAGACAGCGCCGCGATTTATTAAGCGCCATGGTTCCGCATTAGCCACCAGTACCGCTTCACAAGTCGAGGCGGCGCACAGTCTGCGGGACCCCATTCTAACTCGACGGTTTTGTGCTGAGGGAGCAGCAAACACTTTCTTGATGGTTTGCATGCTGCATGCAAACATGCCTATGTGCGTTAGGTACAACATGCTGCGAACGATGCACCAGCAAGAAGAGCTCCAGAAGCAGTGTGACACAAACTTTGAAAACCTACACACAAAAATTGAGACTTGTCAGCATCATAGCCTGGCGATGCTCGTATGAAGATCAAGAGAGGATCAAAACCGGAAGCTCTGCCAGGACAGACTTACCCTGTCGATGGATCGCCTGATGGCGGGTGTTCCCGCAACAGCTACATCGAAGTCCTTTGCTGCGCACTGGGTGGGACACACTTCCTTCATTGAGAGCAATGGCTCGATGCCTCGTCGCAACCATAACATGTCAATATCCGACTACTTTCTGCACAGCTCGTTGCTGCGGTCCTGTGCAGCTAGTAGACTTGTCAGGAACCTGGACATCCATGATTTGGTGGAGCAGCCACATGCATCGAAGAGGGTCGCTTTAAAGGAGGCGGGCTCCGTCGATCGGGGGTGGGCTCCGTCCATTGGTGGGCATTTTGGCGTTCAGAATGGGATGGCTTGCTCCAGACAAGTGCCGGTGATGAGTAACTGTTGCCTACTTTTGCGTTCATGATTCTCAACACCAGGATGACGGCAATCAGGCAGCGATGTAACCAGAGCTGTGTATCCAAAATGCACCCTGGAATGCCTCAGCACGGGGTCGTGCCTTTCAGGGCAGTGTGAACTTGGAGGAGGCACTGGAGGCGGCTGTGGTCAGGTGGGAGCTCAGCAAATCGTCGCATTTGATCGATTTCGTGCTTGTAAGAGTAGTCCCATGCATGGATAGGAAATGAAATGGGTTGGGAACCGTTCCTGCTCGCCCTGCTTGGTTTCCAGGCTGCGGGGCATGGTTCTTGAGGTCACCGACCAAGCCTTGCAATGTGCTTCTGCGACCCGGCACAACAAGCTTGGCGAGTTGCAGCTTGTGATCGCATCAGCGGCAGCTGCTTCGAAACTGCTGAGGCAGGAATGGGAGAGTTGCTCCGAGAAGGCTTGGACAGCCACTTTGGCCATTTGTCGCCAGCCGCGGACACGAAGCGTCAAGGATGTCAAGGGCAGCGCTCCTTGAGAGCTTTGTCCACGAGGACGACCTTCGACAGCATCTACTCAAGCCAGGATATGGCCAACGAACGGAAGCCGCTCGACGTTCCGCGGCTGCAGAAATTGGCGGCCGGGCCGAGTGAGTTCCAGAAGCTTCGCTGCCTTGCTTGCAGGAGCCAGTGTTGCTGGTGCCAACTTCCGGACACGCAGAACTCGGCGAGGACACTTACACTGCACCTCCCGTGCTATTCACTCAAGACAGCGTTGGGCTTCAACTTGCCCCACAGTCTCCAACCAAAACATAAAGGCGTAGCGGACGTACAGATTCGGCCAGCATAGCCGGACTTCGCCAGTGCTGAGACCGGCATGTAGGAGGCCGCTGCATATCTGTTCAACGCCATTTTTGCCATGTCCAACGTCCTGAGGCTTCTCTTTCTTAGCAAAAAAAGATTGCATTTGGCATTGGTGATTCCCATTTTCGTGCAAACCTTCCAAGCAAGCCTCACGACTCACTTGTCTTGGTGTCAGCAAGGAATTAGTACATCGATTGTTTCAAGATCACGAGATGGGTAACCCATCATCGTGTGTGTGTGTGTGTGTGCGGGTGTGAGTGCGTGTGTGTGCGAGTGTGTGTGTGTGTGTGTTGACATTTGCTTGGCCAAGCGCCCCATCGCCAGTATGGTCATGATGGTGGCCGAGATGCTGAGCTGCATCAGTATAGAAGCCTCCGAGCCGTCACATCTGCTCGAGAATCATTGCTGTGTCTTTGCTTCTCGAGGAGTGCACATCAGGGCAGCCTCTGTGGTTGCTGTAGTATGCTGTAGTCAGTTGCTGCTTGCTCTGGATAGTGAACTGCCATTGCAGCAGCAGTCAATGTTTCCTTGAAGCGCCTTTTCCAGTGCTGGCAGCACGTGTGGACTTCGAAAGGAAAGGCTTTGACTGTTGAACCATGCCCCTTGCCCAGTGTTGGGTTCTTCAATTGGTCCGGAGTTCCGATGCGGTCGAAGGGGTTTGCCGCGTCAATGTCGCTCTCACTTGAAGTGCCAGTAGCCCGGTCTACACGGCTCATGCTACGTAGTGTTGAAGGTGTGCACGATTGTCGTGCCGGGGTGCGGGCGGAGTGAGCAACGTTTCGCGGCATGCTCATCGGGCAATCTTAGAGGGTCGCGATTTGGCATCTGGGCAGATGCAGGAAGGGACATAAAAGTGACTAAGTGCAAGATGTTCCCGCTAACATACCCAAGTTCGGCTTGCTTGCATGACGGTGTCGGTCGCAGCTTCTTTTGGCCGTTGAGCACCTGGTGAGCATGTTCGCTAGGAGCCGGACGTGACGATGTCCACAGCACGCGAGGACTTCTCGCCAGGTGGCCTCAGCAACTCGAAGACGCAATTCAGCTCGGACAGCTCCAGTGGGCGATATGGCTCGGTACAGTCGCTCGTGCGGATTCCATCGGCGAACACCTCAGACTCTGTGGACCTCAATGCTGAAACAGATTTTCAGAGGGGGATTTCGCCTTGCTCCGCCAACTCCGAGTTCTCCGCAGTGTCCGCCTCCAAGCGGAGGGTCAGCGAGTCCTTAGCTCGAGACTTCATTCGGGCACAATCGGAGGTTCAACCCGAGGCCTTTACATGGAAGCTTCGTATCAACAGGTTCAGGAACAGTATGGCATTCAGCAACTCTATGGCCTTGATCATCTTTGCAGATGCCTATGCCAACTGCTGTGACATTGACGCGCGTGCTGCAGGGACGGAGCTGCCTCTCTGGCTCACCATCTTGTCCGATGTGTGCCTGGGTATTTACACTGCGGAGTTCTTCTTGTCTGTGTTCTTCGATGGCTGGGCCATGTGGTTTGACAGACTGAAGGTGCTGGATGCCCTTCTTGTTGCATGTGGCTACATAGAGGTGTTGCTGAATGCATTCTTACCTGGAAACGTCTTTTCGCGCCTAAGTGTCATAAGGATACTTCGTTTAGTGCGCATCCTGCGGCTGCTGAAGATTCTGCGCAAGGTCAAGGCTTTGCGTGAGCTGCAGAAGCTTATTAAGATGCTGAACACATGCTTGAAGGCATTGTTCTGGTCATTCTGCTTTTGTTTTCTTGTGATGACGGTATGGGCCATGCTTATTGTAGAGTCAGTCCACCCCTTCGTGCAAGACTTACCCGATGATTTTTTTAGTGATTGCAGCTACTGCGACTTTGCGACCTCCTCTGTGATGCATGCCAACCTGCTGCTGTTCAAGACGGTGATTGCGGGTGATGGCTGGGGAGAGCTTGCCGTTCCCGTCATTTTGGCAGCGCCCGAAACATCGATCGTCTTTATAGGCGCCTACCTAACGATCGTTTTCGGCGTGCTCAACCTTATTGCCACTTGGCATTAGCAAGTGCATTGAGCTTCCTTGCTATGATAGAATAAACCAAAAAAAGGCTCATCAAACCAAAGACCTGCCATTCTAGCTGCGGGATGACTTGCCAGCTCAGGTCGCTGTTGTCGTGGACCAGTTCGCCGAAGCTCGCGAGCGTGACGTGCTTAACTTGGCCGAAGAGCTGGATCACGACATGCGGACTGACAGGATCCTGGAAGTGTAACGGTGCCCACGGATCTAAGGGGAGTTGTCCTGGAGTCTAGAGCTCTGCCATAGGCATCGGGAAACAAGTGACTGTATGTAACATGGAGCGGAGCAATAGAAGCTGGGTTTAGAGGCAGAGGGCTCGGGCCGGGTCTCAGTGCCGGGCAGGTGGGGGCAGCTTAGCAGCTGGAGTGGCCTTTTGTACGCTGGTGTGCATGGCCATGTCGGTCGTTCCCCAGGAGCCGGTTGAAGAAGGTGTTTGACCGCATTGACAAGGAGGGTGAGGGACAGCTGTCCTTAGAGCAATTCGGATGAAAACTAAGTGAGAAGCAGGGAAAGAAGCAACTGGAGTTCTTCCGTATTTAGAGATGGCGACTGAAGAAACGTGGATCGGCCTGATTCTTGTTCTCCGTGATGCTGCAGCAACGTTGATGTTGCCTAGCCAATTTTCTGGTCTGGGACATCCCAGAGCTCGCATGGTTAGTTTGTCGGCAAAGGCAGTTGCTGCACGGAGCCCGCAACGACGCCGAGCTCCAGAGCCGATTGAAAGTCATGGACATCGATGAAGGCCCACATTTGTACCGACAATCCTTGAGTTGAGTTTGAAGATCCGCGCGGATGAAGTAAGGCTGCGCTTGCTGAGGCGACTTGCATGAACTCTTCCAGATGATTGACGTGGATGGTTCGGGTACGATTGAGTTGGAAGAGTTCATACGACCCCTGAGTCGGTGGGTACACGCATCTTGGTTTCAATGTTGCTTGAAGTGTCATTGGCTTTCAAAGGCTGACTTGAAGACCGGTTTCCGTGTTCTGAGAGTCATTGGCCGCTCATTCAGCAAGCCTAGAAGCGTCTGCGATTCGCACCGAAGGGCTCGTGGCCTTGTCGAGAATACCCATTCGCGGCGAAAGTCTGTTGGAGCTGGAAACTCATGCCAAGGATTCGAAGACAGCGCCGAGGTTCATCAAGCATCTTTGGCCCATTTAGCACTGGTCGACTCTTAGTCATGAAGCGGGGAAGGTCGGTCTGCGATTTGTGTTCTGGCTGTTCGAGCGAGGATAAGTAGTCGTAGTCCAGGTGTAGGATCGACAGGAAGCAGTCTTGGTTATCCAGCCGTGCATGTTCAGGTACAACCTCCTGCGTACGATGCACCAGCAAGAAGAGCTGCACAAGCACGTGGAAATCGGGTTTGTGAACATGAACTCGAAGATAGATGCTTGGCACAAAGCTGTGGCACATTTGCTTCTCGGTGCCCATCAGCTCAGCCAGCTTGCTAGGACTCTATCACGGCAGACTTGAAGAAATTGACGCCGCTTGGAAATCCATAGTTTCAAGCCCAGCCGGCTTCTAGAGAACCGTGTGTCGCAGCAAGACACCACCGGCAGAACAAAACTGGTGTTCGGCCGGTTGTGGTAGGTAATGCTGTCTTGAAAACAATTCTTTGTGGAAGTAAGGCGGCTTTACACGGCCAACACAAGATCGGTCTACCGCGCCGGTGAACACAGAGCCGGAGCAGCGTTCCTTGGAAGCTTCATTACTGCAGCCACATCATCCAGCTTGTGCTCCCTTGTTGTGGGAAGCTCTTGTGCGTGGGAGCAGGTCCAGCGGAGAGGATTTTGTGGAGCAGCCGCATTCGTCCAAACCGGTCACTTTGAAGGAGGCATCTGCTTTTGTAGGAGCTCCCAAGATGCATGACTGATCGTCAGCTCTGCGCAGCAATACAAGCTTGGCCTTGTGGATTCGCACGGAGGTCTCACCAGATGACTCCCTCGAGATGGCCGTGGAAAGGCGAGGGCTGGACTCAGGAGTTTGACACAACCACCTTCAAGGTTCAAGAGCAATGCTTCCGTATGTTCTCGTTGCAGGTTGCGCAAGATTGTATTGAAGTCCACGGAGGCCGCTCTCGAAGGATCTTCCGACCCTCGGCAGAAGCAACTCCCTGTAGGAGTGAGCCAGATATCGGGAGCCAGCAGTACCAAAAAGTCTGGGCCAGTACGGAGTTCATGGTGGTTCCAGAACGTTTTGCGGAACCTTCAGGCCATGATGGAGTCCTTGCTTCGGGACAGTGTGCGCAGTGAGCTGCGCAGAACTGGAGAGGCCACGGAACATGGCAAAGGTCTTACTTTCCGGTAGGTTTGTCACATCCGGTTGTAGAGGCCGACCTCCGTCAGAGTCTGCTTAGGCCAAGAGCTGGGGGTCCGTTGAGACGGGCATAGACGGGCTTTCTTTGGCCCTCCAAGGGTTTAAGTCGGACATGAGGGCAACAGACGACAGAGTCAAAGCCATGTGATGCTGGAAGTTGTTGGGAGACAAACCGTCCTCGAAGGCTCTCCCATCCAGAGGGCCATCCATTGCACCATCTATCCTGACGCAAGAATCGATGTTCGACAGCTCCATTACTGATGCCGCATGGCTTGACACGACTGGTCTAAAAGAAGTGTTCGTCGTTGAGAGCCGTGAAAGTACAGTGCATTTGGCCCAATTCGGCAGGGAAGTGATCCAAGGCAAAAATGCCCGAGAGCGGTTCTCGGGATTCACCGCAGGGCATCCTCTCGCTCCGTCCGGATCAGGACTTTCCGAAGAGCAGCTGTGTGTATGCGGGAGTCCACTCTTACGTCTGACCTTCTCTCCCCCCTCTGTCTATCTCTTTCCCTCTCTCTCTCTCTCTCTCTCTCTCTCCCTCACCCTCTCTCTATCCCACTCTCTCGCCATCTTGATGTCAAGTGCCTGTGTCAATGTCTTTCTACCCTCGATTCATCCATCGGTAAGCATCGAACGAAGCACTCCTTAGTTGTCGTGTCTATACGATTTTATGAGTTGTTGAATTGAGGTGCCGATACCGATGCCTTAAGTCTTGACACGTGTAAATGAACCTGAATCGACTTCATCGAGCAAGAGCTGGACTACAACCCTCTCCAAGGGTGTGACACATTGTTTCTGCGCATGGTTGGTTTCTGTGTTTGCGCCGATTAGCACACCCTAAGAGTTGTTGATTACAAGCGGCCGCAGGCTATTCTCGTCTCCTCGTTCTCTGGTACTCGTCCCTGCACGCGCGTGGTAGGAAAGCTGCTGTGTCTCTCGCACAGTCCTCCATTGGAGTATCCCACGAATTACTTTCTTTAAGTAAGGCTGGAGATGTTCGGGGTAACCATTGACCTGGTCGTTTACATCGCCCGAGAAGGGGGAGCATGCGAGGAGATTCAGGTCTAACAACCCCAAGTCCAAGTGCATCAACATGTCATGCCGGTATGAGCTCAACAGAAGGAAAAATGGATGGCAGACTTAATCTTCGACCCGTTTGCTTCAAGGACCGTGTGAACCCGCCGCCATGGCAAGGTGGTAGGGCTGATGTCGCACAGCCAGCAAGCAGTAGTTCTCGCAGTGGTTCTGATTCTAAGGGACTTTTCTTCCTGAATATTGAGCATCCACCTTTGGGGCTTCTCGGGGCAGAAACGTCGCTGTGGCACCCAGGTCACCATGGCGGAGCACTTCAGCAGACTCGCGGGCTCCTGAACGGAAAGCCTCGGCTTTACTTTGAAGAGAATTTACCAGCTTTCTGCTTTCTCACGAGCCGGCCGGATAGGCCTCGTTTTGCAAATGCAGCATTTCAGCCTAGCGAATAGCTGGTTGAAGTCGCGTGGAAGTGGCTCAGCGCAGTGCGTCGACGGCCTTGTTGCCGGCCATTCCACCCCAACTTCAAGCTGGGTGCAAGAGAGCACGACATGCAGACCTGTAGTCCTGACATGCTCTTTTTCTACTTGTTCTGCGGATGCCTGTGACCAAGTCCAGCTCCGCTGAGGCAGCGTCGTGTGCCTAAGGTTCTGACCCCATTGCCTCAGCTTGTGCATGGACACGAAGGTTTCAAAAGGCTGCTCATCGCGTACCGATACCTACCGTTCAGGACCTGGCCGCTGTCACCAATCCTCAAACTCAAGAGATTTGCATGGTGCTTCTTAGGCCTAGGCTTTGTCTCGGACAGATGCCTTACCCTTTTTATTGGCCAGCCGTGGAGCTAGGACGATGTTGCCTGAGGTTTTGACCGCAGATGCCAGCTCCTGAAATACAGCGGGCAGAGGACTTGCCGGATTGAGGCATGCCGGTAATTCAGAAACACACCTATGCTTGCAGCAGGGCGCAGTCCTGCAAGTGATGTCGTGTAAAGCTGGCAATGATTTGAGCCCGGCCTGTGATGCTGGCGCAGGATCAATGGACTGGGTGTTACTTCAGGACCACGTGGCTGCGCCGTGAGTGACACATGAGGCAACGTCCGGGCCCCACTTGCATTGAAAGTATCGTTTGGCGCAAAGTTGAGTAAGACGGTCGTAACATGATTGGGTTTCAGTTGAAAGCTTTGAGCCGTCAGATGCTTCGATGCCCCAACCAGTAGCAAGTGAGGCCACCTGTGCCTCGAAAGGTCTGCCCAGCCAAAGTGCTGATCATTACGGGAATGTGCCTGGAGATGAGCCAACTGAAGATCGGATGGCTTGCAGCTCCTCCGCCAAGCTTTTCACGCAGGCTGCAAAGCTACCGCCTGCGAAGAAGTTTCCGTCACGAGGGCTGGCTGTCAGAGAGGGTTGTTCCATGCATCCTGAGGATCAAAGAAGCCAGATCAAAGAATCTCTTCCTTTGTCCCGTCCGATTGTGCACAGGACGCGGTCGTCAAGTCATCGCCACCGCGAGAAGTGCTGACATGCGCCTCGGTTTGGTCGTACCAGAGAGGTTAGTGAGCCTGGCTCGACCGACCACTCCATGTAGAGTTTTTCCTGACAGGATTCTGATGGTTCTCGATGCCACGAAGGATGATGCTCAGCGACAGCTGCTTACGAAGGATGCCTCGCTGTCTGCTTTACCAGCTGCTTTCTTCAATGTGCAACAGCAGTCGGCGAGGCTTGAAGCCCCGAGCACCCCCAATATTCGGAGGAGCTGAACGATGTCGGCATCCGCCTCAACAAGGCACGGCCCAAGATCTCCGTCACGAAGACGCCGGGAGCTCGTCAGTTGCTTGCTGACTCGCCCGACTCGCGCCTGCTCCCGAGGAAGACCGGAGGCTTCAAGTTCAATGCCACCTGCACGCTCACCGAGCCCGGACCACAACAGTGCTCACGAGCCACAAGTAGTGTTCCGAGCCACAAGTAGTGTTCCATCTTCAGGGCCTTTGGAGGGAACGTGGGCGTGTGAGTCATTGTTGATTCCCAGAACCCAGGGTCTTGTGTGTCCCACGTATCACGCGGTGAGAGTGGCTGGTGGGCAGATTCAGAACGCTCGCAGCGTCCTGGGCGAATCAAGAGCAGTGCCATGGGCAGCACATGCAGACAAAGCCGGTCCAGCAGTGTCGACAGCACAAAAACGAGCTATGCTTGCCCACTGCGGTAATCCTGACAGTAGCAATCCGGACACTTTCGACGATTCGAGGAAAGTCTTTGACATCGGCACTTTGTTGCTTGCCCCATTCGCCCACTGTCCCGAAACGGCTATGGCGGCACTGTGGCGTCAGCGTTTGGCTCCCGAGGCAGGAGCGTCAGTGTGCAAAGTGCGACCAGATGCATTTGGCAGAATCGGAACTGGATGCTGAGCGGGAGTTTCATTGAATGTAGTTCATATGGTCGTGTAAATTGATAGAACTTACTCCAGGGCAGTGGTTCCCCACATTTGCAGCGTACGCCGCAGCCGTACATTCTGCAGAGAATACTTGGGGAAATGATAGAACAATTGCAGACAAAACAACGACGACGTAGGCCGTGTCTTCTCAGCAGCTTGAAAGGGTGTGAATCCGTAAGAAAGAGCAGAGCCTTGCAGCTTTGGCAGTGACAGCAGCAGAAACCCTGTCTGTGCAAGATCGTGCTGACAAATTATGGGCAGCACTAGCAACACGGCAACAGTATGGCAACACCCGTGGACCGCACTCCTCAGTATCTCATGGGTTGCTTTACACCATGGTGAGAGAACGAGAAGTTCGCGAGATCAACGACCTCGAGCCGATAAAGCTGGAATGGACGCCGAAGAAGGTCTCATCACCCCGACTGAGTGCTCCACGGCCTCGAACACCTGATTTTCTGAAGAGGGCGTGGTTTGAGATCCGGGGTCGGCAAGAGGCACAAGTAAGGCAAGCAAGACAGCAGGAGCCACAGCCAAGGCAGCAGGAGCCACAGCCGAGGCAGCAGGAGCCACAGCCAAAGCAGCAAGAGCCATCACCGAGGCAGCAGGAGCCACAGCCAAGGCAGCAGGAGCCACAGCCGAGGCAGCAGGAGCCACAGCCAAAGCAGCAAGAGCCATCACCGAGGCAGCAGGAGCCACAGCCGAGGCAGCAGGAGCCACAGCCGAGGCAGGAGCCACAGCCGAGGCAGCAGGAGCCATCACCGAGGCAGCAGGAGCCACTGCCGAGGCAGCAGGAGCCACAGCCAAGGCAGCAGGAGCCATCACCGAGGCAGCAGGAGCCACAGCCGAGGCAGCAGGAGCCATCACCGAGGCAGCAGGAGCCACTGCCGAGGCAGCACGAGCCATCACCGAGGCAGCAGGAGGAGCCACCGCCAAAGCAGCAGGAGCCACAACGAGAGCGGAAAGAGGATGCCGCCTCAACAAGCCAAAGTAATTGGCAAGAGGAACGGGAACAGCGCTGGAAGCAAGAGGCTCAGAGAGCAAAGGAAGAGGACCGGAGGCAGAGATTGATCGCGGAGGTGACAAGGATCTCCCGAATTGACCCCTCGAACTTCATCCGATTGCTCGAGTTGAACATGCAGTACAACCAGAAAGAGCTGGAGCAGAAAAAGCGAGCTTTGGTGCTGCTGTTACATCCTGACAAAGCCTCCAACCTCGCGAAAGAGGATGCGGCCTTGGAGGTGCAGGCTCGACGCGCCTACGATGCCGTCTGCAACGCGTACGAGGCCGCCAAGCAGCAGCTGTTGCGGCACAGCCCGGCTCCGGCCCCGAGCGGTCCCCATGCCAACCCGCCTCGCGCACAGCCGCCTCCTTCGCACAGCTGGAGGTACAGATGCGCGCACCTAGGATGTTCCTACTTCGTCACCATTGGCGAGTTCGGTGGGTTCTGTTGCAAGAAATGCCATGCAGCCTTCCTCCGTGGGAGCGCCAGCCAGCACGGCAGCAGATGCCACCGACGTATCGCTGAGAGCAGCATCCCCAGAGCGGAACCTGTGGCTCCAGCGCATCCGTTGGTTTGATGCTTGCGCACAGCTCGTCTGATGCTCCGCCTTTATCGTATTCTGCATGTGGAGGCGCGACGGATGCGGTTTCCAGCGATGGCAAAGAACTGTCCTGCAACATTCATGGCTGATGAAACTGTGCTTGCAGCACAGTCCTGCATTTGGCCTCACTGCCCTGCATTGGCCGCACCACCGGGATGTCAGCGCGCGCTTTCCTCTGGAAAAGGCCTTTTGTGAAACCCAGCTCCTGAAGAGATTTCGGATGAGGACCCTTGCACCGGGGTGTAAAATGTGCAAAACCCGAGCCTTGTTCGGAGTAAGTAAGAAGCATCAGACCTCTTCAGCCATGCTCCCGGATATGCAGCTGATGCCAGCCATTCGCCGCAGACGGGCCCGAATCGGCAGAAGCACGGTAGCACTTGGAGATCAGCGGCGTGATAGGTTCAGCCAGAAGAGGAACGTGTCTTGCGGACCCTGTACAGACTCACAGAGCCATGAGAGCCATCCCATGAGCGACAGCGACGGCGGTACGGACGGCAGCGAAGAGCAGGAGCGGACGAACGAGAGAGCTTAGGCTGCTGAAATAGGGCAGAGTTGGTTTCTTGAGCCTAGGACATGAGCTGCGCCAGCAGTTAGGACTCTGTTTTTTCGTAGTCGCATGTGTCTGCAGGTGAAGTTGCTCAAGCCAAAGCAGCTAGTGCAGCACCAGTTCTTGGCGACCAAGCAGTGCCCAGACCTTAGTGCGGAGTTGAAATGCCTTTTGTGCTACCCGCCACTCGGAAGCTTTTCAACGCGAGATGACGGTTGTTGGTGACCAAGGCTTCGAAGGGACGGGCAGGGTGCTGCCAGAGACTTGGCTGCAGTGGGTACCTCGGGAGCTAGGCAGGCAAGCGCTGCAGCATCCCTTGCTTGAAAGTGAGAGCCGACTGCTTCGGGAATTCTCTACGGCACTCGAATCTCAAAAGCACCGGCCCTTCAGCTCATGTACGGCTCAAGCTATAGTGCAGCCATACTTCGGCGAAGCCTGCGCCATGTCCGGCATGACCTTCGACGGCATCGGCCGGATCAAAAGTCTGACCCAGAGCCCCGCAGAGCAGACGGACAACAATCAAAATCACCTCCTCGAAACTCTGGAAGGGTTGAGAAGCATCCGTTACAGGAGTTTGGAAAAGCCTCCTTGGTTAGATGCGGATGGCAACGTGATCTGGTCTCCGCTCAGGATCCGAGTTGCCAACTTCGTTTTGAGCCAATCTTTCGAGACCGTCATGGGCATGATCATCGTCGGCAACATCTGCCTCATCGTCTTTGAGGCGAACCAGGATGCCCGCTGTATACCCGAGTATGTAGGCAGGGCTAGGGAGTGTCCTTACGGCACTGATTCAATCGAGTGGTTGTTCTACACCAACCTCGCACTGCTGCTTCTTTACTCAGTGGAGTGTTGTATTCGTTGGTATGTCGAGCGGACGGCGTTCTTCTGCAACAAGTGGAACATGATTGACTTGGTGACAGTGTTGCTCGGCTGGGTGAGCATGGTGCTGGCCTCTGTGGTCAACCTCAGCATTCTTCGACTCAGCCGGCTGATCCGTGTGCTTCGGGCCATCCGAGTCTTCATCTCCATACCGGAATTCTACTTGCTTGTGACGGGGCTCTACTCCTCCATCAAAGCCATCTTTTTCGGAGCCATGATGTTGCTGTTCGTTATCGTCTTCTGGGCCATTGTTGCTGTGGAGATCCTGCATCCTGTCATGACGCGCATGGATTGGCAGAGCTTGAACTGTCCGGACTGCATGTATCGCTTCTCGGATGTTTTCAGTGCAGGGGTGACGTTGTTTCAGCAGATCGTGGCTGGCGACTCTTGGGGCGAGCTGTCCTTGCCGCTGATTGCAGAGAACCCTTATATATCTGTGATGCTCTTTGCCATCATGATGACCATCTCACTAGGCGTTATGAACTTGATACTAGCGGTCATCGTGGAAAGAGCTACAGAAGCCAGAGAAAATGATCAGGAACAGCGGATCAAGAAAAAGGAGGAAGAGCGCACCAAAAACATGGTCGAGTTGGCTGTTCTCTGCGCCAACTTGGACAAGGACGAGAGTGGCACCGTGTCGCTAGAAGAGATGCAGAGGGGCTACGACGACGACAAGAACTTTAAGCTGCTGATGGACCAGATGGACATCAAGAGGGATGAGATGGAAGTGATATTTCACGTGTTGGACTCAGATAATAGCGGAAACCTCTCTTACCTCGAATTCTGCAAGAACCTCGGAAGCTTCTTCAAGCGCGATCCCATCATCATGCATTCCTTGGTCCAGTGCTCGGTTCTGGATGTGAAGAAGCTGATCCAAAAGGAGGTGGTGCCGGTGATGAGGGAACAGCACGCCGAGATGATGCGGGAGCAGCGGAAGCTCCTCGCCGCCTTCGGGCTCCTGCCGGGTTCGGAGCCCAAAAGCGTCCCGGTGCCTTCACCGAAGCTGCCGGAAATCGCGCTTCGGAGCCCTGCTCCTCTGGAGACGATGGAGAGGATACAGGCCGAGCTGGAGCCGCTGATGGCGCAGATCGAGAGCATCGCCGAGCTTTTGGACCCGCCGTCTGCAGAAGGCAAAGAAGGCCTTGAGGATCGACCGGGGCTCACTTTGGGAGCCCTGGCGCGTGAAGAAGGCAACGAAGTCCAGGAAGGCGGTGACGGCAGCACGGCTCTATGTCAGAGGAGATCAGATCCGGAGGTCGAAGTGAAGTATGCTGTGATGTGTGACGGCTTCCAGCGACGTGCTGATGAAGCGGAGAGGCTACAGCGCCGGTTGTACAATGCTATCCAGTACCTGAGTGTGCTGAGAGGGTTCGACAAAGTTGATCCTTCCCATGCAAAGTACTATGAAGTGTAGCCACTGGGGCTGATGCCCAGTGAAGGAAAGTCGGCAAAAAACACATCCTTTATCAGTGCGTGAGCGACCTCAGTGTACGCGAGCGTGCTCAGAGGGTTCGGCAAAGTCGATCCTTCCCATGTCAGGTATTAGGAAGTAATGCAGGTTAATGATTAATGCACAGTAAAGAGAGCCGTTACAGTGACAGGCAGCCGTTTGATGCGTGTCGGTGTGGTAAGTACGAGCGACGTGTGTATGCCCTGCATTGCGAGACACGGCCAATGAGCTGCAGGTACCAACTCAATAGACTCAAGAACTTAAGCTGGAAAAGTCCGAGAGCGAGCAGTGAAGCAGCGGAGCATCAAGTCTTTCCTTACTCTACGACAGTACTCACCGGCCAGGAGAGTGAGGAGCTTTCAGCCTTGGGCGCGGCGGCCGACTTTTGCAGCTCCGCCTTGGAGTCCGGGGACGTTCAGGTCTGTGGCGGGACG